TACATATTATTTATTTCTACCTTTCATCCGTGCCGTTTGTCCTCATCATACTCTAGCCACTTATGAACTAGGTCCAAAACTTTCAACTGCAACTGATGGTGCATTTCTGCCACTAAGCTCAACAAAGCAGGTAAATAAGGTGGATGTGCATGATTTATTTACTCAAACTTTCCTACCTGAGCAGATTGAAGCTCAGATCCAGTCGTCTTGCAAACTTGCCGTACGTCTCTCCAAGAAAGTGGGGGATGTCCTTAGAGTCTTGTCCAATGTATGATATCTTCAAGAGTAACAAAGAATAAAAACAGTAGTGAGAGAGAGCTTTCTTTATATTCGTAACATTTCAAAAAATATAGGCTATATTTCATAAGATCCATTTTTAAGCTACTTTAAACAATGTGTGAATTTTTCCAACAGCTGCTTTTTTGTTGGTGTAGGTTTTTAGTTTTTGTATTGTTCACTTAAAGGTGTGAAGAGTTAAATATGGTGCAAACTGTGCATCATATTTTTTTGGTGCATAGTTTGGTGCTGAAAGATGCAAGAGGAGGAATCGTTTACCACAGTAACTGTAACATGAAAAACAAAGCTCTGTCAATATTCTGAGACAGACACATAATATCAGGAGGGATGCCAATAGGACTGACTGATGTAAATAGAGCCAGCTGATGTGTTGGTCCCACCAGTCATGGCATCGTTACATTTCTATTCGGTGACACTTGCCTATCTGTAACGTTAGTGTACTTAACAGCATATTTCACGATTTGTCTGACATAATTATGCCACCACACTCATGCATTCTTCCCGGTTAAGCTGTAAAAAGAAATGAAAACTGAAAGCCATGTGTGTGATGCCAACAAGCGTGTCACATGACAGCAGAGGGGGCGAAAAACAAACTCACAATCAAATTGTATTCGTAAATTAAACGCCAGTTTATAAGTCGACGATAAAGCAGCACTTAGAAGAGGAGGAGGAGCTCGGACGGTGAAAGTTTTCAGGGCAGACTTACTTGAGTCCCATTTAAAACGACCGGTGACTCCCTCTGAGCCATGACGTCCTCCTGAATGACAGTTCGGAGTTTGTTTGTGTTTTTTTAAGCAGTGGAAGTCAGAGCCTGTATTCTCCCTCACGTTGTTGACACCCAGTATTGATTCCTGTGAATGTGGCGCGGTTGCAGGTTCTCCTTACGCTTTACAATGGGCTTTTACTGTTTCCGCGTGCCGCTTGAATCAGCTGACCCGCTGTGTTGCGGAAGCACGCGGTCACTGCTTGTTAACTCGTAAAACCTCAGTGCTGCTGACTGTCTCCTGACGACTCCATGTATTCTCCCACTAGCATGGCGTTTACTGTCAATTACCATGGCTCGCCTTTTGTTATGCCTGCGCGCTTCCACCTGTTCTATAGAAAAAGGCAACGGCAGTATCATGAAGAAAGTTAAAGACGCATGAAACACCTAAATGGAGGTCAAAACGCATTCCTAGTGAGCCACGCCTGGTCATTTTACCAGCTTTTCAGAGGAAGCAGATTACAGTATCAGAGAAAATTGACTTTATTTCAGTAATTATATTTTAAAAGTAACAAATACTTTATGTATTAAGCAGGCATGGAGAGTCCTAGTATTTATTTATATTTTTTTATATACCCTGGCTATATGCATTAATTACAGCCAGGGCTGAATATAGGTGGTTCTGGGCCTCAGGTGTAGAACCAGTTTCGGTCCCCTACCGACAAGAGTTTCTTCTACACATGCAAAGTACAATAGGTAGACAGTTTGTCCACATAGAAATATTTTTTTTTCCAAAATGATATTTATATTTATACTGCATCATTTTGAAAATGTCTTCATCCAGAAATGCAAGGTTAACGCTGTTGCTTTGCAGCAAGAATTATGTTCTCTTGCATGCATAGGTTTTCTCTGGGTATTCCCAGCTTCATCGTATGTAAAATAATGCATGCTAGGCTAATTTGTTTCTCTGAATTGTTATTTGGAGTGGGTGTGTGAGTGCCCTCCCCCAAATAATTAATGGAACGATGAACTATACAATCTTGTAGAACATTCACCCATCAGTTTGTGATGTTAATTTTAAGTATGTTTGGGTTCTACAGCAGGCAACACCTGTAAGGCCACCTCTGAGAGTTTTAAAACATATTGAATAGAACGGTCTTTGTTTGGGCAAGTCAAAGTTGAGACTTAACGCCCATTGAACGTGACCTAAAATAGTCTGTTACTGCTTAAAGAAAGAAAGAAAAAAACAATAGCTAAATTAAAACAATTCCTCAAAGAAGAATGTACTGAAATTTCTGAACACCAGAGCAGTTGATGTTGCCAAAGGGTACTACAACAAGTTATGTTTATTTGTACATCCACACATGTATCTTTAGTTGTATTGATCACTGTAGTAATGTATTCACAGGTCTAAACTGCCTAAAAAATCAGAGATTTGCAGTTGACCCAAAACGTTGCTGCTTTCATTGTAACAGGAAAGTAGAGTACATCACCCAAGTTTTAAAGAGCATACACTGTCTCCTTGCAACTCAGAACATAATACTTTGTTAGTTTATAAATCACCGGATGGTTTAGCACCAAAATAGATCGGCTCTACACCCCCAAGAGTTGATATAAGGAAAACTGTAGGTGTTAGCTTCTGCTGTAGTGCTGGATGGTTTCCAATGTGGATTAATGTGCACATAAAGGCACACTTTGTATTTTAATTATTAAAATAGGGACCCCTCTTTTTAGAGGGGTCCCAAGTAATCATGTTTTTTTTTACCTATTCGTGGACTGTCATGGTCACTAACCCTCACAAATACCGTGCATCCTCTGCGGCTATAATCCATGGATTAAATATTCTTGTTCTTATTACTGTTGCCTTGTTTAGCACCACTGCCTCTCTCAATGACCAATGACAGTAATTGGTCATTGAGACAACTTCAACTAGGGGCAATGTTATGTAAAATCAACCATTTTGAGCTTTACATCATGTTATGTTGTGTAATGGTATTTCCTCATTCACTCATCAAAAAATTTACCTTGATTTTTCCTTTGATTCTTTCATGCATGTTTGAGAAATCCTTTAATCTCCTCTGGCAACCATTCAACTGGGTGGACCTAGTGAAGCCTTCCTACTTTGAGCTGCAGTTTCCAAGGTTTTAAACTCCCAAGCTTCTTAGCTTCTGTACCACAGAGCACCTCTCCTCCGCAACTACCCCACCCAACTCCTTCAGACTAGACAGCAGCAATTAGCAAACCCCTGGTGGAGCTGGCATCTGCTGAGCTCATACATGCTAGTGAAAATGTTGTTAAAGGGTCAACAGAGGAGTGATGTTGTGATGACTTTCTGAAGGCAAAGTTTCAGAAACAGGATTAGTTTTTAAAGAGACAGAGGCCCAATATTAATTTATCACATCAAATTTATTTTAAGTCATATTTGATTTAACATTTTTATAGCAAATGAAGGTAACATAGTTACTTGATAGTGCAGTAAATTAATACTATGTTCCAGGAAAGTACAGAATACTGCCCCTTTAAGTGTCTGATAGGCATTCAGTATTTATAGGAGGAACAAAAACAAAAACAAAAACAAAAAAAAACCCTGTGAAACAAGCAGTGTGTTCTACCTATATCAGAACACTACAATAATCCAGTTGGGGCATATAGGTCTGCACAGCGTAGAAATCTATCAAAACAACTGAAAAACTTAATTATCATCACCAGTAATCTAATGCACAATCTTTTTGACATTTTGCACAGTATTTGCACTTGCATCATAAACACAAGGTAAACATAAACACGTGAGTGAGTAAAATATTACATATGAATGACACATTGGCACATTTATTCTGTCGTTTTGTTGCAGAAACACCAGAAAGTTTCTGAGCGGATGTTTCTTCTTCTGCTTTTCTGAGTGCCTCGTGACGTCACCTGAAACCTCCCTCCCACTCGCGGAAAAGCTCATTTTCTCCCTCTTCTCTTCTTTACGCTGGAGCGAGCGGAGGGAGTCTGCATGGCTTCAGTCCTCTCTGTCGCTTCTGTCGGCGCGTCATGGGCGACAGAAAGCCGGTTTGACTCATGCATAAAAAGAAAGAAAGAAAGAAAAAAGAAAACACCTCATTTGAATCAAACGGAGTATCTTGTAATGCTATAACGTTGTTGTTTTTTGTTACCATTTACCTCTGCGTCGGAGCGTATAGTAAGGTAATGTCACATCACGGACTTTAAGTTAACGTCATTTATCGTTGGAGTTTTATTTATGAAAAGGATATAGAAAATACGTAGCGTAAGGTTTTTTTTTTTTTTTTTTTTTTTTTGTAGCGCTCTGTTTCATTTTATCTCATAAAGTTACGTGTATAGTTGTATTTTGGTTACATTGATTTGATGTTTTAAAGTAAATTATTAATCTAGAAAGTGCTAAGAAAATAGCTTTTAACATTTCCAGTACTCAGCAGCACACAAATTTGACTCAAAAACAATTTGCGGAAGCTTTAATAAAGTTATTTTAATAGTGAATCTAGATCGTCGGCCCAACACGCAGCTCCCAGTAATCCTGCAACTCCCAATATATTTCCCCTCGAGATGTAAATAGTTGTATTTGCATGCGAGGTGATTCATAAACATGTCAGTGTGTGGCGAAATATATGGCGGTGGAGGGATATTAAAACTTTCTATTTAAATATGGTGAATTATGGTGGCGAGAAATGTGTTCCCATTTAAGAGGAATGCCGAGCATTTTGGTGTCTGGTGCAGGAGCCCCATTTGTCATGCGGACAATAAAGAGGGTTTTCGCCTGACAGTGAAAATTTATGGTTGCCCTTCTTTGCCCTAATAATTCACATATTGTGTCAGGGACTGACATCCCTCGCAGAAAACAGCAAGGCTGTTATCAATCACACATCTTTGCATATTATGAAACGCTCCACTATGTTTTTTTTTTCTTTCTTTGCTATAGCAGAAAGAAACAGAAGTGAAAACATATTTTGAAGGAACACATCTCTGTTTGCATTAAAGA